AAACATGCAAAATGTCCTGAACTGTAAACTAGTAAACTACGTATATATATTTTTGGTGTTATAGGTCGAAAGTGACCAAAAATTTATTAATGTTTGTAAAAAGTAATTGGTGGAACTTAATTTTAAGCGTAAATAAGCACTGATCATAAAAATTTTTAGTAATTTAAAGTGTAAGAACTGAATGAAATGGAGAGGTAGAAATGACCTTCCCTCTTCCTTTTCTTCTCTGTTAAATACAAAAATAATATCATTGCACCAACTAATAAATTTCGTAATAAGGCTAAACTATAAATTTTGATCATGTGACTTACTGTAACAAACAATTATAGGCTTAATATTAATAAACCTAATTAGGTTAACTTAAAATTTTTGAGTAATTACCGCTTTAAGGTTTTAATACATAAAAGCTAGTTCCATATAAAATTTTATAGCTAAAAGAAACAATCAATTATTGTTTTAATTCATACCCCTATAATATGCTTCTGACTTCTTACTGTAGAATAAGAGAAAATAAAATTGCATAAAAACTTTTGTGGATGTCTACCTCTTTCAAAAAGTCAAAATGTTCGTTGTATTATATTATACAGTGATACTTATTAGTTGCTTAAAATATGTATGTGGTGATGACATAGCACTTACGACTTACGATTGCGAAAAAAAGGTCATTGACAAAGGCTCGTCTAACTCTTGCCCTCAGCGCGATCAATTTATAACTTCTCTATATTATAGTACAAAGCGTAGCTTTATTACTATACAATGCTGTAAATACCGCACAGCCATGAAGCCTTTTGAACCTATTATAAAAGAAGACTTAAATTTTGAATTCCCTTACAATATATTTGGATTAGAGTATTTTTGCATTCGCAAACCCTTTTACTCAGGAAACGTTTATTTTGGGTGCTATGTAGATGAAGATGAACGGTCACCAACTACTTATGCTGGTAGTAAAGATGAAGACTTTATGGGTATATGGTCCGGACATCTAAGGGCAACAGAAAAAAAATATAAAACAGGGTAATGACATTATATATATTACTATTTCGTTAGAGGTATTTTTTCAGTTTTTTTTTTTGTTAAAACAGTGTAAAAAATTAAAAACTTATACTAATATTAGCATTTTTGGTTGGGGTACACCACATCGCTGGATTGATGAAATTTCCCTAGCGGGAACTAAGGTGTACACATAAATTAAACATTATAGTTTTCGGTTTTTAATTCATGTTTTTGTTCTTGTTTTTTAATATAAATAGGCCACTTATCATTCTCAACTAGTAAATCATGGGACTATAGATTCTATGAGCGGTGTGTCACCTGGACAGACTATAGACGCTCCCATTGGTTATGCATTAATGGATCTCTTTGTGGCGGGCGAGAGATCGGAAACGATTTATCCTTCCTTCGCAAAACTTTCGTTGTCATGTGGAACAGGAATGTATGAAGAGGAAGGTTTATGCTGGTGCGATACGGGCTCGTATATGCTTCCTTCTAATGTATGTGTCTATGAAAAAACTCTTACCCAAAATATCTGCCAGCAAAAGTGTGAAGGTACATCATGTTGATGCCATTTACTTGCGAGTATAAACGTTTCCTTAAATAATTGGTATTAAAAGACTGTCCTGATGGTTACATTTGTGACAAAAATAAAAAAAAACCCTGTGAAGTCGGTTACATGTGCTTTAACGACGAAAACGATGAGCTTCCTTACACGATAAAAAAAAAGTGTGACCTCGGGTTTACATCGTTGCCTGTATCAAGTGAATGTCCGATAAGTAAGTTGTAAAATGGTGTATTTTTGTTAATTTAAGTAATATTTTGTCCATATTTGCAAATTACTATATTTAAATATTAAAACAGGACATCGGTTATTTTGCCTCCCTTTTTACCTTCTGTGTTAGGTTTAATTTAACAAATTAATAGGGCTAGAGAATGGCTGCGCCTTAGCTATTGTTGAGGGAAAACCTCAGGGAACTATAAATAATTGTAAAGAATGCTTCGAAAATCAGGATGGTTATCCTGTTTTAGAATCCGATAACTCTTGCTACTGTCGCAGAGGGTCCTTTTATAACAGAAAGGTAACTCTGCTGGATAACAGAGAACTTTCTCCACATGGCGTTTCCTATTCAGTATGCTGTAAGATATCCGTTTTCTTATAGAGTGCATTTTTGATTATAATAATATTTTTTACGCAGTAACTTGTACACAAGATCAATACCCTGACTCGCTTGGAGGATGCAAGCCGATCGAGTTAGTCATGGTTCCCACAGCCGATAGCAATATATTTATGCTCGATGTCACTTTGCCTGAAATTGATTTAAACGACATTGATTACATGACCTTCCAGTTCTTTGTGTCTAAAGGGGGTGATGAAGGCCGGACGAAACCCGATGTTAACAAAAAGGCAAAGTTTACCCTCTCCAAATCTGCTTCTTACCAAGTTTTAGAGGATTATTACCTAAGTCCTGACGTTACCCCATTGAAAGAAAATGAGGGCAACTCTTCTAATCAAGTAATACGCCTGAAAGGATCGGTAACTAATATCATAACAATTTTATGGTGAACAAAATATTAATTTTTCAAATTTTTAAAGAACTTGGAACTGGCTGGGGCTTCAACCTACTGGCTTAGACTATTCTATGATGACATTGGGAAAAAGAAATCTGATCAATGGGCTAGATTGGTGTATGCGAAAAACTGCAGTTGCGATGGTTCCAGGAATGACGCGCCTACTTTTGGAAACGAGTCTTTAGGGGAAAAGAGAATTTTCTTCGATAAAGTTAACTTGAGGATATGCCCGAGGTATGGTCAATAGCAGACTTGTTAGATGCAGTGGATACTAATTAAGAAAAAAAAATATAACTTTTTTGTTTTAAAAAAAGGTGGATTGATAATTCTCATTGTGACGAAAAATATTCCATTTCAAAGAGACCTGTAAACTCAAAAAATGAAAATTTTGAAAATTTAGGAACCTACATTTCGGATGTTACTAACTGCAGGTAGAAAGTTATTAATATATAACTTTAAATAGGTAAGGTTATTAAGTGAATCTTTCCTGTGTAAGAGCACTGTTAATATAAAAAATATAGTATAGCGACCCTTATGTCAATAATAATATTATTAAAATAATACAGAAAGAATAACGTAGGAGCTAGTAAAAAGTAATAGTATAATAATTTTTAGTGCGACTAATATAAACCGGAGGGGCGAAATAAGTAAAAAAAAGATATTTGTTTTTTAACACTTTCGAGTTGGTACAGTAGCCTTTGTTACAAACCGAGCCTATTGAATAAATTTTTACAATTAAAAATTAGTTTTTAACTTTCTGAGGGATATTTATTATATATAAAAAATTATAAAAATAACTTCTTTAAAGCTCTTTATAAGTAAGTAAACATTAAGTAACACACTTACCGAGACATTTATTTTATGACAGCCTTTTAAATTTCATATAAAAATAATAAGATACGTAGAAAGCACTGTTTGCGATGAAGTCTACGTCAATGCTTATCCCGTGGGCACCCAAATTCAGTACAAGATTGAAATTAACCACTTGACTTTACCTCAGCTGGTTTCAGCTTTCGAGCCCGATCAGCTCCCCATTTATACTACTTTTACGGTTCCTTGGGTTGCTAAGCTGAGAATACGCGGCTTGGTAAAAAATTTTCTCCTCCTGAGTACTCTTGTACTTTGCCATAAAGTTTCCTTGTTAATGGTTAGGTAGCAGATTCCTCCACCCAATTACCGTTTTCTCAATATTCGGTGTCTATTTTAATTAACGGAAGAAAGGTGAGGATGGAGTTCAGAATATTTATATATATTACTGTAAAAAAAATTCTTATATTGAAAAATAGTAATAATAATTTTCCATAACTTGAAAAAATTAATTGTGATTTTAAACACAAGCAGTTTATTACTAAAAGGAGCTTCTTAGTTTGCAGATGTAGACGTGACTGACCAGTCGGGAACGGCTTCGGTTTCACTTACTACAGAAAGTTTTTATGAAATTAACGAAGTGGTGGTGTTACCCAGTAAAAAAGTTAATAACTTTGAGCATCAGCTGCTGTGCCTCCCCTCCAGTGATGCTACTAAATCCGCTTTGGAGTGCGCGGGTGTTACGTTCAAAGTTTCTCATTTAAGCGAAGGTTTTTTTTAACTAACTTTTAAAGGTAAACGAATGTTAGATAACTTTTATAAAAATAGAAACAGTTATTATTAAAGACATGAGCGTTGCCAGCGTTCAAGGGCAGATTACATTTAAAAATACGGGAAACATTCCTTGTCCGGATGCCAATGTTACTGTTTGTTTAATAAAATCTTCCAACAGTGAAAAAACTTGTAAGATTACTGATGAAAGAGGCTTTTACATATTTCAGGCTTATTACGAAGAGGAGTATAGTAAGTTAATTTATTTTAAATCTTTAGTAATTATTAAAAAATGTTTTAAATAAAATAAGCCGTCTACGTGGACTCTGAAGAAAAAATATATCAAACGAATAGTAAAGAGCTGGGCAATGGCGTTAAACAGCATCTTCAGAACAAATACGATCGCTGGGTGTTTTCAGTCGACGGAAAGCTCGAGTATTTAAATTTTGTAAACACCAAAACAAATGTTTTAAAAATCAACTTTTATGGAGGAGAATGTAAAATCCCACTTCTGGGCGCTATATTTACTATAACCACGCCTTCGTGCGACTTTACCACTAATGCAAAAATTGAGGCAGACACCTTATTTACATCACTGAAGCTACCTCCAATGCGGTACACTATAATTATAGAAAGAAACGAAGATCCCACGGTGTCCCCTCTCGATATAAACGATATAAATGAATTTTTTGGCCCTTCTCGTAATAGAAAGGAAGTAGATTTGCGAGAAACGGAGGGCCAAATTACTTTTAAATACGAAGGAAAAGTGAAAACCGAGTTGACATGGAGGACTTCCACAGGCTCACGTAGTATTTACTACTGTGTGCCTGCTGATCTACGTTAACGATAGGGTGCGATAGGTATGAGTCCGGAGAATACTTGCGATAATTATGGCACGGTTTTAGAATCAGGTAGCTGTGAATTGTATTGTTTTCTGAAACTTCCCATCGAATTTAGTTGAGTTGATTAATTACTTTAAACATAGGAAAGTTTTACGTAGCCTCATTTACCTCCAAGCAGTTCTACCCGAAAGGCATGATCTGCTCAAAGTATAACGAAAATGTTACTGCAGTGATCAACGATTTTGTTGGAGAAAATGTTATACTATTTATACTAGCTTTAAAGCTTATAATAATTTTTTTATAAAAGGGTGGATACTGCTTCTCCTCTAGAAAGAATAGCAATATCACTCAAGGCTGTACCCCCGACAAATTTTCTAAACAAAATGGGATTAGCGTTCTAGTAGTTTTAGCTGAAAAACCCAACTATTTTTCTCCTTATAAAAAGTTTCTGAACTTCCAGTTAGTTACAGAACAACGCTATTATCCCATAGAAATTTTTTCGGTGGTAGTAAAGGGCGTCTGGGTGAATAGTAACGACTGGCGCTCCATGGGCCTTCCGCGGTGGCAGCCCCTTATGGTCCTCCATCAGCCGCCAGGAGACTCTTCTTTTTCGACTCTGGAAACTGGTTTTTCTGTTTCAAACGAGTTTTCTATGTACACCAAAAAGAGCACAGATTCAAACAGCAGAAATAGTGTTAAAATTAGTGAAGAATCCGAAGGTAAACTCTTTTTTTTTTCTGGCAGGGTGTATTAGTGACTTACTATGTCTTTTGTTTAGGCCTTTTTTGCGGGGGAGCGGCTGCCGCCATGGTTTGCCACAAGACCAAAAAAAAGTTATCCTTGAACGATATTGGGTTTCTACAGTCGTCTACTATGGAGGACACCTCGTCCTCCAGTGACATTAAGCAAGCCAAGTTTTCTTATGCCATATCAACTTCTTCCTATGCTGGAGCTCGTGGTGGTGGAGGCGACCTATTTTTAGTGCCGAATTTAAGAATTTTAATATTTGAGTCGCTACGCCTTAACGTGGAGGCCACTCCCATTAGTGAGGAGCTTTCCACGTGCTTTATTGAAGTGATTCCTGAGTACCAATGGAAGTTTGAAGATAAGGAAACGGCGGATGCCATATCCTTAATAACCGAGTACGACATTCTTAACAAAGAAATTCCTCGTCTCGAAAAACTAAAGCAAGACAATATGAACCAGAAACTCTCCGGGACCTTCGACGCGGACTTGGATAATGTTTTTTATAAACCTTTTTTTATTTTAGTGTATAAGTTTTAAGTTCGCTTTCATTAAAAAAAAAATAGACCTTATCGGAAGCTATAGAAGGATGGAAAAAAACTGTGGAAATGAATGAGCAGAACAAAATCGAGGCCCTTTCCCGGCCGTTAGCTTTAAATTTAAAGAGCGCTGTGCTTGGACTGGAGTATAAACTCTGCTTTCCCGAAGCGGATATGGCCTACTTAGAATTGATAAATAAAATTCCAGATGACTGCAACAACAAACTAGATATAGTTTTCCAGTATCAAAGGTCCATGGCTTGTACTAAAAGCGACAATAAGTTGTGTAAAAGTTCTTCTCAAGACATATTTAACACCATCTGTGGGCAGCCGTTAGATATGACAGACTGCATGGAAGCAGAAGGAGAAGAGGATCTCGATAGGAGGTCCGTTTCCGTGAGTGGGAATGGAAGCAGGGTTCGCAGGGAGGGTGGTGTAGAGGAAGAGTCGCTTGGAATTATGAACAACTTGAAAAGTAGTAGCATTAATAGGATAACGTTTTCCGGTGGGGGACATTCTTTTACTTATAAAATTTCTGAAATAACTCGCTCGTCGGGTACCACCTCAGAGCGAACAGCAACGAAATTGCAGACAAATTCTATAGAAGCTGGAGAATTAAACTTGCTCTTTGTAAAAACTGTTAAAGAGGATACTGAAGATACGACATATCTAGTAGAAGTCATGCAAGACACGGTGATTTCCAAGGAAAACAGCAAGTTCTTATCCTTTACACTTTCTGATTCAAATATTGGCGATAAGTTTGATGTTGAAGTTTACGAAGACCCGATGTTTGGCACTCCAGTTTTTGTTACTGTTGCTGGTGCAAGCAAGTGTCCCGTAAGTTTTGTTATTGTTTTTTTTTCTGATAATAATAGCCATTTCTGTAGCACGAAGAAAACACAGTGGTACGTGAAAAAATCTTTTTAAGGGCAACTCAGGGGCAAATACTAAACATTGAGAACGCTATGCCCGATGATATCGCTGTCATTCAATTAGAAATTGTAAACGAAAACTTTAATGATGTGGTGACTCCCGTTTTATCATTAGAAAGTCATACCAACCCCCATAATTTAAGAATTGATGTGAATGGAAAGCCCTTAGCCTTGGGCGGACAGATGTATAAGCTACAACCAGGCGGAAAACAAGTGGTTAATTTAGAGCTTAAGCGAGGTATATTAAACATAAGTTTCAATTAGAGGGTTGCTAAGGAAAAGAATTTATAAAAAAAATTAGTAACAATAAGGAAAGCAATATATAAAAATTACTAGTTCAGCTGTATTAAAGCGGCGAGTATCCATATTTACTGCAAAGTCAGGTTGAAATTTTAATAAGTTAGTAAGGTCTCTCTTCTCTCTTGTTTTAGCGGCTTTCCAAACACGTTATGTAGGCTTTACTATAGTGTAATGCTAGTTAACTTTACTCCATTCATTCTACTTTCCAAAGGTTCCGAGTACGTCTACGAAAATGTCCAAGTTTCAGTGAGGTCGCAGTGTGAATGGGAATTAGCCCTCGGAAACGGCATGTTCCGGCCGCCTCTAAGCAGTGTGATCGATATATCCATCTCCTATCTAGAAGAGTGCGTTCCCGTGCGTTGGTGGGGAAACTTGGACGACGTGAGCTGCTTTTGTTATTGCTTTATGAAGCAAATAAATGCTCCTCGTAAACGCTTTTAAAATGATATTTATATATATGAAATTTATTAGTACCAGACTTTTTCGCTGTCTAAGAATCCAACGTTGGGGTTGGAAGATCAAGAAGACGCGCTGGCAGTGGAAATCAAAAATATGGGAAAAACAAGTTTTAAAGAACTTGAACGACTTGAAAAAGTTTTCCTTGAGTACCGACTTGTTGGCGAGCGCGAATGGAGGATACCTTCTAAAAAAGACTTAGAAAATACCGGAAATGTTCTTGCCTATTTTTATAATAAACAACTTGGAATAGACAATGAGGAAACGTCTTCTGGTATCTCAAAGCTTTATTGGGACACGTCCTCCCTCCTTAGCGGCAATTACGAGTTGAGGGTACAAGCTCAGTGCCAGTCGTCAGGTTTTTTTTTACCCTTGTAGCTTACCACGATACCCCAGCCATGTAAATCTAACGGAATTATAAATTAAAAGGGAACAAGAACTTTGATAACACTATAACCAGCGTTATTCAAGGAAAGATTGATAGAATATCACCAGAATTATTAGGCAAGCCCACTCCTTCCGACAACTTCTTTATGCTTGACGGAATAATTCAATTTACCTTTGACGAAATATTAAACTGTGAACTTCCCTATACTATGAGAGCTACGTTAACTTCCAGCTATGAAAGTTCAGAATACTCGGAGATTTACTATTACGACCAGAGCAAGGCTGAAGCTGGCATGGCCAAACTTAATTTGTATTGCAAAGATAACGTAGTGCGAATTTTTCCCACCGCGCTTATTAACCTTGAGGCCCTCATGGGCCAATTAGTGAAGGTTGAATTGTGTGATGTTGAGGATTTAGTGGTAATTACATGAGAAAGTATAATAAATCCCAGAAGCATATTATATTTTTCATCTAAATATTAAAAATAAAAAAATGCTAATAAAAAATAATTTTTTGTAAGGGCAATAAATTAGAGGACTGCGTTACAAACGAATTTTTAGTGGGCGCTACCGAAGTTGACACCGTAGAGTCGGAAGTCACGGTGAAACTGCAAGAGAACAGCCTGGCAGGAAAGTCCTTCTCGCAGATTCTGCATAACTTTGGTGCAGTAGTAAAAAACGTGACGGGCACTAATAAAGTAAAACTTGAGCTAAGCTCAGCTTTGGTAACTCCATAGCATTTATTGTAAAGTAATAATTTATTTAGAGGAAGTCATTCTATAGGACGAGGAAAAGACCAATAACCAAACGAATGCTTCAAATTCCACCAATCTGTTGCGAGAGTTAAATTTAGCTGACGAGATGCGAATAAGAGTCTTGTTTTATTCTAAGAACTCCGGCCCTACGTCATCGGGATATTCGGTGGATGTATCAAAAGACTTTCCAAACGATAATACTGCTGAGCAGGCCTCTCCGCTGCGCTCAATACACGCCCTGAACCAGTTTATGGTTAAACCCAAGCTTAGTAGTGCCAGCGAAGAAGTTTCGGGTGAACTTAATTACTGGAGAAATTCAATTAAAGCTGAACCTTTAGTGCCAACCATTACGAAATCTAAAGAAAGAGTTCCAAATAAAAAGTATACTCCCTGGGACCGGCCACCTAAGGCTCTCTGGATTGCATTGCTTGTCACACTTTCTGTCCTCGTACTCTCATCTTTGCTTAGCTTAATAATGTCACTATTCTATTACAGAAGTAAAATTAAGAGAAAAGTTTATTTAAAATTGATAAGTGACTTACTAGCGCATGATGAGGCCTAAATTTCGGTGGCAATTACTAATTTTAATAAATTAATTTTTTTTTTTCCTCTTATTATTTATTGTATATCTCTACTTTTAAGTTGACCAGTATCTAGCCGCTTTTTTTGAATTTAATAATTATATAACAGCTTAATCTTATAATCTCTTATACAAATTGCGGCCAATAAAAAGTTATACATACAGAAAGATTTTTCTAAATTACGATGCGAATCTTTAAATAATGAGAGAATTGTTTTAATTTTAGGAAGTTGATAGCATTGCGAGTGGAATACTTCCTGTATCAAGGCAGGCTAAGGTTTTTCTTATCGTAAGCAACCAAAAAAAAAAGAACTTTTTTTTTAAGTTGTATTAATTCTGTTTTGCAAAAAGGTTAATATATACAGTTGTTAAGAAGTTGAGTAAAAAACTATAAATTAAAGATCCTAGCATAATACAATAATAGCAAGTAATAGTTGAAAGTAGAGTAATGTAAGCGTACAGACAACTGAATATTAACTTTGTTTTAGAGAATACAAAGAATTACTAGGAAAGTTAGAAAAAACTAAGTAATTAGATTGGAGCATTCTGCTAATTATCCCGTTACGCGACAATTATTTTATAAACTTGTTTTAACACTGCATTTATATTAAAAAAAAAATTGAACTACTACTTTCAGTAAATAAAAAGTTTATAGATTGTAATTTTCTTCAATAGCTCCTCTTCGTTACGTTCGTTTTGTAAAGTCAGTTAACATTGAAGGAGCGCACATACTTTTAACAAGCAATTCGTAAACGGTTAAGCGTAAAAAATTTTCAGTTCTAAAAATCCGTATACTTAAACTCCAATAAATATAGAATCACCTACAGAAGGATAATAAAACGATCTTAAAATCTTTTTCAATAATTTAAAAACAGTTCCCATTTATAATTTTTTTTTTGACAAGAAAAAAGATTTAAATTAACTTTTAGCATTTTAAAAAATTACGTTAAGTTAACTATCTTTATCACTTATTTAATAGAAAAATTTAAAAAAACTACGGATATACACTAAATAATGCTGAGCTGAAAGCTAAACCACTCCAACGTAAATACGGATTTTCTCTTTAGTATCTATATCATGAGTACTTCGATAGCGAGTTTCGTATTAGGCGTCTACCCTTTATTTGTCTTTTTCTTTTTTGTAAGTAGTTTTTTGTTTCCGCCTTGTTTATTTTAATTTAGTAGAAAAATTAAGGTATACTAGGAAATTTGAACTAAGTAAAAGAGCTATTGTATAGTTAAAAAACTTTAAACAAAGATATATTTTTTAAATATTACATGTAACTTTTAAAATTTAATTGAAAGTAAATGAAATATATTTAAAGTTTAAAGGATTAAAGTACACTTTTACTATCTACAATATGTTATGTATAATAAAAATTTATAGGTTTGGAATTTTTACTTCATATATTTTTGGGAAGTGTAGATTCGCTATTAGTTGTTCAGTTTTATATTTTAATAAATTAAATTAAGAATTACTTTAATAAGAAAAAAGAAATAACAAAAAAATTATAATTTAATTTATTAAGGTTTTAATTTATTTTTTTTATTAATTCAAAGTATTCATTTATAAAATTTTTTAGGTAAATATTTATCGCGTTTCTACAATTGTTTTAAATGGTCATAGCAGTTATAAAAAGGTTTTATTTGACTATTCAAATCATTTTTTTAGTTGCATTTTATATTTATAAAAGTTTTATTAAAATGGAGAGCGAAAGAATTGTATAAAGCTGGTATTATCCCGAAGCCTTCTTGGCTTTCCTCTGTTGAAGCGGTGGCCATTTTAAAATTAAATAAATTATATAATAATTATTATATTTTTGCTTTTTTTATAAATTTAGTTAAAAAATATATTTTTCTGTTATTTTTGAATTTTTATAATAACTTTAGGTATTTTGTATACAATTTATTGTAATTTTTGCTTCCACATTAAATTTTTCTTAATAATTTTATTATATTTTTTAATTATATTTAAATATATATAATAACTTTAATATAGTTGGTATCCATTTTACTATAATTTTTTGTATTTATGTTTATAATAACTTTTTTATATATAGTATACAAATTATTATAGCTCTTTTTGCTTATATAAATATCTAAAATATATTTTTAATTCATAATAATTTTATTATAACGTTTATATAATTAGTTTAGCATTTGTTGCTTCTTATAAAAATTTACTTAATATATATTTTTATATTTTCAAAAATTTAATTATTTTTTTAATTATTTTTAAATAATTATAATTTTTTTTGTGTATTTAGTATAAATATTATTTAACTTTGTTTGCTCCCCACAAAATATTTCATTTCTTATATTCATAAATTTTTAATATTTTTCATATTTGTTTTTGAAAAATTATGTTTTTATATTTTCCTGTAGAAATTTTTTTTTGTAGAGTTTACTAAACTCTTACTAATAATTTCTTATAATTTTTTAATTCTAATAATTACAAATTAATTTATTTATTTACATTTTATATTGTTTTATAAAATTTATAATTAATATTAATATTTTATAATTAAATTATTGGAATTCAGATTTTATTTGTTAATTTTATTCTATTAATTCATAATAAATATAATTAGTTATTTCATCTTTTGTATTTTGTAAAATTTTTTAAAGTATTTCATATAAAATATTAATTTCAAATTTTTTTTTTGACATAAGTTATTTATAAATTAATTTTTTTTAATATTTTTTAGTTTTTTATAAAAAATTTTATAAATTTTATATATATATTTTTTATTGAAGGTTATAAATTTAAAGTTATAAGTAATTATTTTTATTTAAATATTTTATTAATTCATAATAATTATATATATATTTTTTAGTAAATCATAAAATTTTATGAATATTGTAAAAATATTATATTCAAATTATTTAAATTTATGTTTCTTATGTAAAAATTTATGGTAATTTTTTTTTAATTTTAAAATTTTAAAATTATTATTTTTATTAAAATTTATTATAAAAATATTTTTTATTACAGCTTTTTTTATTTATTTTAATTATTAATACGTAAACAATATTTGTTATATAAACCTTTATTTTTTAAATTCATTTTAAAGATAATTTAAATCTTTTTATAAAATTTTTATAAAAATAAATTTCTTTATATTTTTTATTTTTTATTTTAAAAAAATAATAAAAAAATTTTTTATATTTTAAAGTTTTATAAGTTTTTTAAATTATTTTTTGTAGTTGTTATTTTTTTAGTACAAAAATAATTCATTTCATTGCATTTTAAAATATTTAAATTTTGTTTTAATTTTTACTTAAAAAGAAATTTTAATTTTTTATATAAATTTATTCAGCTTATAATTATATATTGAATAAATCATTTATTATTATTATTATTATTATTATTATTATTATGAAAACTAACTTTTTTTACAAATTTATTATAAATTTTTTTATTATTATTTTTTTTATAATTTGAAGTTTTATTTATATTTATATTTTTTTTAAAAAGTTAAGCGTTTTAGTTTAAAATTTTTTTTATAAAAATTAATTAATTTATAATTTTAGAAATTTTATTAAAACTTTCATTATTATTACTACTAAAGTTTATGACTTTTTTTAATTTTATATAAAAAACTTTAATTATTTTTAATAGAAGCATTTTTAATTTTTTAAATAGATTTATAATTTTTCATATTATCTTAAATCTTTATTTATATTATTATTTTAAAAAAAATTATTAAATTTATAATCTAAAAAAAAAAAATTATAAAAACTTTTTATTATTAATACCGTTAATAATATTATTATTAAACTTTTCCAGGTTCCTCCTATTGGCTACGCTGGAAGGCCTTCTGGAAAAGTTCGCGAAATTACTTTTCCTGAAGATCCTTATCGAAAGTTCCTAATCGGCCAATTTTTTTCGTGTTTAATTTTTTTAATAATTCTGAATTTTAGGAAATTTTTTGAAAAAGTCCCCCGAAAATATTTGTTGTCTCTTTTTGATTCTGATGAAACTATTTGCGATCGGTATAATAAATATTATTATTATTAAATTAAAATAAAAAATATATCAGAAATTATATTTTATAGTAATAATAATAATAATGATAAGTAATATAATATGCAATGGCTTATATTAATAAAACCTAATAAATATTAATTTTTTAACAAAAGAGATTTTAACAAAATAGTATATATATAATAAAATTCAATAAATATAAATAAATAAGTAAATAATAAAAAAAATAATAAATATTTATAAAATAATATTAATAATAAAATTTATAAAAAAGTATCAATAATATTATAAAAATAAAAAACATATACAATAAAATAAATATTATGATAATAATAATGAAGAAAATAAAAATAATACCAGTATTGATAAAAAATAATAATAATAGTAATAAATAATAATAATATTGAAGATTTGTGCAACGCCAGTTAGAATATATGCTTAAGGAAAATCTTTTAGAAGGAGAAGCTTTTGAAAAAGTTATTATTATTATTATTATTATTATTATTATTATTACTATCACTATTAAAGGCGTATTCCGTTTTACGAGAGGAAAGTTTTGATAATCAAAACTTAAACACCTTTTCAAATGCACAAAAAATATCCGAAGAAAAGTTGAAGGAAATTTTGACTATTTTAGAGACGGATGTACTTTTATTATTATTATTATTTATTATTATTATTACTTAATATATAAAACTGCAGATGCAATTGAAAGAAAAAGAAAAAGTAAACAGCAATAATAAAGAATTATAAGATGCTTATAACTTTAACTTGATTGGCTAATAAGGAATTTCTAAATTTTTTTTATTAACTATATATTTTCTTCTATTTGATTTGGCAAACTACATACAATTTCTTAAAAATTAGTGGTTATTTGTGCTTAAAAGTCGGTCATTTCTTTATTCATTTATTAGGTAAAAACAGGTTTTAGAGTAATTTACAAAATTTATGAGAGAAAATATAAAGATAATAATATAACTTTACCTCTTTTTAAAGTAAATATAAAAAGCTTCAAGTAAAGTTTATATCTATTGATAAAAATAAGTATATCTGTGACCCTTCAAGGTTTATCCCACACAACAGAATTAAATAAAAATGTAAATCTTTTCTATAAAAATGCGTTAAAATGCAGTACAATAATAGTTTTGGGTATAATTTCATAAGCGTAATTGTTTATTTGTTTTTCTCTACACTCTGTTTTCTCTCGCGACGCTAAAAACATTTGTTTCGGGCTTAAAAAATAATATAAATATATAGAGATTTTCGTTTGATTATACTTATCACTGTACCTCGTAGTGTAAAGCAGAGAAAAAGAAACAAATTATCCCATCCTTTACATTTTTTAAAACAGTTACCTGAGAGGATACTTAACAATGTTATCACACATTTACATACACAAACACAACAAGCATTTAATCTATTTGCAGGCCGAAATTTTAAATTTTCCCAATAAAAATTTTTGTATGTTTTGTTGGTATATAAGAGTCCTTTGTTTAAAGATAATATTAAACCCTGGAGCCTAGCGCAGGCTAAATTAATAAATCTTTATTCCTTTCCTCCACCTATTTCGTTTACAGACGCTAAAAAAAATTTTAGTGAACTACGCTTGTGAGGTCGAAAAATAAACGTATATAATAACTAAAAATCTACTTGCAGCATTTATATATGAACCATCGTAACCATGCAAAAATCAATAGTCGCAGTGTATGCTATATTTTGTCTAGAGCTATCTCTATTCTGAGTGAGTCGAGAAGCTGTAATATTCTTCGGTGCCTCTTCTTTTGAATGGTCGGGCAGCCGTTTTAAATGTTATTTACTGATAAAAACTTTGTAAGCTTTTTTTTAAATAATATCGACCTGGTTATTTAAATGTTCTATTTTTTGGTGCTGGGCATATATATAGTTTTTTTCTGTTTTATAAAGATGTCGAATATTCTTTTAGTCGAACAATCCATTTTTCGAAGTTAAATTCCTTATTTATTCTATTTATAAACAAAGCAGCTACTCCAAGTACGATACAGTCAATTACATAATGTTCCTTTATTGCTTCCATGGTATCAATTAAACCTTGGTAGCATCCATTTATATATAAAGCTACAATGATATGTAAAACATCTTCTCTTTAAGTTGTTCCTTTAATATCTTTTGTGTTCAATTTTGTACGTTTTTATTAGGGGTTGAGCGCTTGAGGGCAAATTACTGTTTAGTGTTTTAAAGGGAGGCGGGGCCGCACACCTATCTTTTTCTTCTTTTTGTTTGCTTATTCAGATGTGGGCTGTGCCCCTCACCGGCTAAATCATTACAGTTTTTTTGTGTTTACGATAAATTCCTATTATTCCTTTTGTTTACATATATTATATAGTTTTCGGAAACAATATATCTTGTAAAATCGACACGTAAGATGTGGTTGTGATATTTTTAGTCTTACTGGCATTTCTTTGAATATAACGAAGGTCAATACCGAATTTATTGGAAGCATGTCAGTTTAACGAGCCTTATACAGAGGTTCTTTTATAAAATGCTCATTCTGGGAATTTCCTCAATCTCATCGGTTTAAACTCCGTTCGAGTTTTAAGATTGATAAACAATTTTTTTTTGTATTGGACCATATATTCGTCTCCTCCCATAGTTTTATGTTCAGTAAGTGCTAATATATCGCTATTCTTCCGGTTTAGCCTTTTGCTTTCATTTCTTGTCTCTATCACTGTTAGCTTATGGCGTTTCATTGTATTTTTAGTGGATTGGAGAGTTAATAACTATTCCTTGTGCCAAAAAGTTGTCTATATCTTTTATGCGTTTTAACTGGAATCATACATTATCTTTCTTCTACTAAATATTATTATAAAGTGCTAATTCATTAGTATTAATTAAGTTTTTTTGCTATATAAAATTCTATCTTTATAACTAACTCGAACCTGTGGTGTTAAAATAATAATAAAAATCTTAAGTGTTTTTTTACTACCTTTTAAATTCTAGGAAAAAATTGTTAAAAAGGAAGCTATTAAAAAGATAAAAAATAGACCTATAAACATTAAAAAAAGAAGTTTTTTTTAGTATAATTTTATTATACACTCTTTTCATGTGTCCTGGTATTATCTGCAAAAAAAAATTGCTCTAGTTTTTCGTGTTTCTTGTCAATTTATATATATAAATAATAAATTAACTATAAAGTTTTAGTTGTTTGTAAAACATATTAGAGTAAATTTTTATTTTATTTTATTAACCAGAGTTTGATAAATGGTAAACCAAAAATAAGTGCTTTTGGGGTAATTTTTAAGATAAAGCATATGAACAACTAAAAAGTTTATTATTTGTTAAACGTCAAAAGTTTTACTTGTTAAGAATATTTGAGTAAATTTTAATAATTTTATAGGCTTGAGCTTGGTAAATGGCAATCCAAAAAAAGTGCTTTTAGGTTTTCTTTAACAAGAACTACTTATACTGCGTTCATGTATATATATATATTAATTAGTGCTTTAAAAGTTTTTTTTAAGTTAAATCACTGAGCTGTGGTCTTCATATAAAAAAAATGGTAATAATAATAAAACTTGCAAAGTTCTTATAAACATAGTTGTATATAAAAAATAAAATATTACTATATATAATACTAATATTGTGTTTTATATACTTATTTTTTTTATTTCAACTTATTAACTATACTAGGTAATAACGCTATTTAAAAATTATTATTTTCTAATATACTATGGATGTTACAATATTGAGGAAGAGATAACATTTAATACTTATTAATAGTAAATTAGCTGGAGATAATAGTGCGATCCAAGTAACTGGTGTTATATTAAAAAGAAAGTGACGAAAATAGATGAACATAAAAACTTGTATAAAAAAGGTATAAGAAAAAATGCTAAACTAAATAAAAGAATTTCAAAAAAGATTGAAACGAGCTATGATTATATTGTTAATATTAATATTCATATTAATTACATTAGAAATATAATACTGCATTTCAAAGTTTTTAAAAATTTATTAAAGGCCCCTCATAACACAATTTTTAAAAGACTTTATAGGTTGCCTAGTTGTTTGAGACTACAGGTAAGATAGAATCTGCCAAAGGAGTAAAGCCAAACTCGGTTTTAACCATTTTTTAAAGCATACCTTTCGATACGCGCGTAACGCTACTTTCGACTTTCCTAAATTACGTGCATCTCAAGAGCGAAAAAAAATTCATTCAGTTAATTTGTTCATCGAAATCCTTGTTTATCCTCATCGAACGGTTATATAACAATAAATTACTCTCTAACAATCCACCAAGTATTTGCTCTACGTGTCATAAATAATGTTTTAGTACAACTATATATTCGATTTTGTGGATGAAGTTTTCCATATAATAGTACTATATATGACAGTGCCATTAAGTAAAGTTAATTCTGCCGGTATTAATATTGTTCAGTTCAACTCCTTGTTAAGTGAACTCAGCCATGTTAGCCTAAGCTTCATTTAAATTTATATTTCACATGATCAAAGCTCCCTCGTATTCAGCAACATTCACTTCTAGTAGGATGGGCATCCTTAGTAACGCTGAAGATTTTATAAGGGCCGTCTCAACAGCTTCAGCGAATTTAGACTATATAGTAAAACTCCTGGTATAAGTCATTGATACCTCCTTTCCGTCTTCCAGCTCAAGCAGAACTGGAAGATGGCCCGACGAGAGTAAGTAATAGCTTCGATTGCCGTTGAATTATGAATTTCTTAAGAAGACGCGGTGTACTACATACTATGTGTATTTGTCTTCACGGATGTGTCTTGGGTTCAGTGACACTAAGACACACAGTTCGCGCTCATCGGTGTTTGTCTGAAGGATATGGCCGTGTGGCTAGTCGACACCGCTGTTTTGGAGGGGAAACTTGCAGTTAGGCTTTCCACATTAAACGGTCAAGAGGTATCCATCAAGATCTTATATTTCGAGCGGCTTCCTGGAAAATTAAGCTGCACTCACGGACACGGGTATAATTTGCGAATTATAGGAGAACCCAAACCACTCTTATGCTTAGCAGGGCTGAGAAAGATAGCACTCTGTGTTATATATTTCATCTGGCCAGAATAGTGGCGTTTCAACTTCGAGAAGTTGTAGAACTGTGGAGATCTGGAAAAAAGACGAGTTTTACTAATAACACAGGTCAAATCTTTTACCCAGCATCAACCACTGCAACTCATGTTTCCGGCTTGGAATGCATTCTGCGTTTTAGAACAAAAGTCGGATAGGACGGAGTGCTCTGTCTAAAATTCATAGCCAAATGGTTCTCAGTCCTCTCAATCACATTGACAGGCTTCTTATCAATATAACAAGCAGTGATCGCAGAGTATGTTGTTTTTACTGTTCTTGTGATTGTTGGAAAGTTGTCCGAGGGGTTGTAGACTTCAGCTTCATAGACAAAGTTATTTTAAAAAATTTAAAGTTTTCTTTTAGAGGGAACACTTGGAATGTTTCAAGGGCTTCGTACTCTTCCTTTGATCTTTTCTTTTTTCTTTTCACTTTTTATGGGTACTTTTTACTTTTAAACATTTTTTTATCGCTAAAATCAATTAATTTTTATTATCTTACTGGTTTTAGGAGTTGTATTATCACTGAATTTTGGTTCTAAGGATAAGTTTTTC